TTTCTGCCAGTCTTGCATCTCCCAACATATAAAAAACCCACAAGAGTTCAATGAGTTGGGGGAGAATTCATTCTGTGAGGGAGTCACATCCCTTCCCTCTTTGTTTTAGCACAAACTAAAAGAAAAGTAGGGATTTACAGAGAAGTTAGAAATACTGACACTTTGCTTTGGAAACATTATGAAGTAACAAAGGCTTATGAGAAAAACTAATTGGATAGTGTCCCTGGAGAAAGACAAAAAAATAAATAAACTACACTCTGGATATTGTCTGGGTTCTCCCATTCTGCTGCTTGGAGTAGCCACTTCAAGAAAACACACACAAGTAAAACACACACAATTAACACAGATAAATATGCCAAGAGGAAACTGAACAATGCCATTTTGCAAAGTTCCCTTTGGGATAGGCTCTTTCTCCTGCATTGTACTTCCTTCACAAATGAAAATTCTTTTCTGAATCAGCATGAAACTGAGCAAGAGGATAGAAAAAAGCTATGAACACAGCAAGGTTAATTGGGGAACAAACTGATGGTATTAGTAGATCCAAAGGTAATGAATCATTGCTCAGCTTTGGTTCTGTTCAACACCTCCTATAGACTTGCTCACCTATTCAGGCTTTGATAAACATTCCCACATAAATCAGGCAGAATTAAAGATGATGAGCTTAGGATCAAGCCCTCCCTCATATCAGTCAGGCCACTGGGAATGTGGGAGTCAGGTTTGCAGCACAGGAAGGTGCAGCCCTATAGGAGCCCTTGGTGTTGTGCCAAGCCTCAGCAGCAGCTAGTAGTGAAGCAGGAGAAAACACAGCCAGGCATGAGTCAGAGAGGAGAGCAAAACAACAGGGAGAGGGTTTATATGCCCTACACTTAGTGCATTTTTAAAGGTGACTGTTGATGTAATCACAGACATTGAGGAATAGCAGAGATTCCAACCCTTGCTTACATGCACAGTCCCTAAAAGTGCATTTGGTGTGGTCAGAGATTTTTCTGTAATGCTCCCAGCAGCTCCCCAAAGCAGGTGTGTCACTGAACTTCTGGCAGTTATTGCTTTGCTTCCCCCTTTTGGATACAATTTAAAGCACACAACACTGAGCAGCAGTGGTACAAAAATGCTCAGTTTTACATATGGGGATGCTTTATTTGACTTGCTTTCAACAGGGTCCTTCCTAACCAGAAGTGGTGTAGGAATTGTAGGATTTCTAAAGAAAGAGAGGAAGATTTGTCTGCTCCTTTTGGATAAGTGTAGTTGCCCACACTGGTCAGACTCAAGTTTTGACATGCAATTTAGAAGAACAGATGTTTTATCTGGGAACTTGTCCAGATCTTTAAAAAAAAGAATAGTAAGGAATGCAGTAATAGCCTATTTTGTCAGCAGCATTGGCCTCAAAGGTCCTGAAGAAATGGTGAGTAAACAGTTGGATTTCTAAGGCACAGCAGAGACAGAGATGATGTGTGATTACCTTTGTGAGTGACATACACTGCAGTGATGAACTAATTGGTGATTGCCTTTTAAATGGACTGAACAAAGCTGTATACCCTGGACATGTTATTATGCCTATTATTTCTCCATCAATCCTCTCCTCTCATCCTGTTCTTTTGAAAAGAGCCCAAGAGTGACATCTTTCCTTCCCATCCCCTGCTCTGGCAGCACCAGCAAAGACAAATGGCACAGAGTTTTACAGGACTGCAAATGCACCAGAAACCTTGGAGAGATATTAACTACTGCATTTCATGCAAAACTGAACTAATAAAGACTCTTCCTCATAGATGCCCAAATGGAAAGGAGTTTTAGTACACATAAAAGATTTCACAAGACTATCATTAGTACAAGGACTATTAAGCATATCAGAAGGTAGCTTCAAATTTATATTTAACACACTCTTGGAACACTGCTCAGTCTTCCCTTTTCTCTTAATGTACTGTCCAATTTGTACTGTAAACACCTTGGAGGATGTGCTGACAAAATGCTATTATCAGTCTGAAACATCTCTCAGACAAATTCTGCCTTAACTTCCGAAGTACTAAAAGCTTACTAGAAAAATTAGTTGGATAGTGTTCCTGGAGAAAGACAAAAAGAAAAGAATAAACCACACTCTGGTTAAACTACATTCTGGTCTTTCCCTGTTATTGTCTGAGTTCTCCCATCCTGCTGCTTGTGGTAGCCACTTCAAGAAAATCCATACAAATAAAACACATACAATTAACACAGGTAAATATACCAACAGGAAATTGAACAATGCCATTTTGTAAAATTCCCTTTGGGATAGGCTCTTTCCCCTGAATTGTACTTCGTACACAAATGAACAACAATTCCTTTCTGAATCAGCATGAAAATGAACAAGAGGGTAGAAAAAAGCTATGAACACAGCAAGGTTAATTGGGGAAAAACTGGTGGTATTACTAGATCCATAGGGGCAGGAGGGTTGGAACTAGATGATCTTTAAGGTCCCAACTCAAACCATTCCATGATTTAAGACCCAGGTGGCTGTGGAAGGGAGGAGTAACAGAGAAGGAGGAGGTTGCAGATGCTGCCCAGAAGAGGCCACTCCACCCCTGGGGCAGGGCCAGAGAAAATGTTAAATAAGGTGTTTCCTTTAAACTCAATTTTCTACAGTACTATTGTGCTTCTGCAGTGGTTGAAAAAGTGGCCATTCCAGCACAAAGGAAATGAAACAGGAATGGAGTTGTGCTGGCAGTGGTGATTTCAGAGTGAGCTATAGACTATGCCTGGAAAACCACAGCTTCCCTGTGCTACAGCTCTTCAGCAGGCCAGGTACCTGGGTGACAGAAATCAGCACAGTTCTGTCAGGGACACTCAGCAATAACAAAGGTGTTGCTCTCCCAATTACTTTTTGCTGAGCCTACACACTCTGGAAAGCCACTGTAGCAAGTTGATAATGATGCCTGAAATCCAAACTCCTCTTGAGCACACCCAAAAGCACCATGATGTGCAAAACAATCCCAATAGTGCTGTGTGCTTTGGTGATTCTTCCTACAGGTGCCTATTCTAATATATTCAGATTTTCACTGGTTTTAAATAGGTGCAACTCCACCTCTTGTAATGTGTTTACTCCTAAATAACACAGACTTCAATGTGTCTGGAGCCAGAAGCACAGCAGGCACAGAAAAAAATAGAATATTGTGGGACTAAAGATAAAAACTGGTGTCACTCCACTGATTCAAATCAGCAGAGAATTTGCCCTACTTACTTCTCTCCTTGACACGTGTACCCTCTGAGCTAAGGGTAGTTGGGTACCTGGAGAATAAAACCACTTTGGGGATATATGTGCTGCTATCACACATCAGCAGTAGTTCTTTCAGCATTACAAAACTTGCTGAAAATTGCTTGGAGAATTTTCAAAGTAAGTTTTCAATACTTTTCCATTCATCTCCATAGTCACAGTGCTACTCAAAGGTTAGCTGAAATGGCTGCAGGCAGTGGAGGAATCAGAGAGATCACATGAAACGCAGCCTGGTTTCTGCACAAAAAAGGATATTCATCTCCTCCTCTGTACCATTACTCTGAACCATTCTGACTACTTTGGGGACATTAAATACTGGAAATAGCTCAGAAAGCATTTGGCTCAACATCTATGTCTATATATCACAAGGAGACTATATAATGCAAGCGCTTTAAATCCATCCTAACTAGAAAATGTAAGATACATAATGCCAAAAATGTCATTAGAATGTAAGCACTGCACATAGGCAGACTCCTAACATCCTTCCAGGGATCATTCCATATTGAAACCCAAACATTAAACATACTGCCTCATGCACATTACCCCATTAACTCTGTATTATCAATCAAAGACAAATTTTTCTTAGAGGATTAGCTTCCTCAGCCAAGTATCAGTGAGACAAGATGAGATGTAGTATTAGGACATGGGAATCAGATCATCCTGGATTTAGGTTGGCTTAAATAGTTGTTGAATGACAATCCCTGCTGACAAAGACATTTAGGGACCTGAGTAGTTATGGGCAAATTTTTGCTTCCATATTAAACAGGGTGAGAAATGGAAGACCAGTCCCCAGATTCATCACTCAAATATAATGAAAGCAAGACAACATATTTTCCTTAAAGTGCAGACCAAGCACTCAGAGTAGCCCATTACAACAGTACATGATTTATTCCACATCTGTTGGCAAGAAATAAGTTGGTTTATTTCTCAGTTTTATACTCAGTCTTGACTCAGAAAGGCTCTGGAGGTACTCAAACCCAGTTTCCTTACTGGTTCTACTAGTTCCACTTCCAAAATAAGGCAATGATAGGTTTTTTTCTCAATATTTGTTTACAAATTTCTTAATTCTTGATTGTTCTCAGCATATTTCAACCCATGGTTTTCTTCATTAATTCGTAGCTTACCTCAGTGAAGTTCTGTGGTCTAATTTGAACATCTTGGCCAAAGCTTGTAACATGTTAGTGAGTTTATTTGCTCTTAATTCAGTCATTCAACAAACAGATTTGGAACTTTCAGTAATTATGTGACTCCCCATGGAGTTGCTCTACAAAGTTCTGCCAACACTTCTCAGGTCTTTAGCAAATTTAAGCAGAGGTTTGATATATTTTTTAAAAAAATCTCTATTGATCTCTTTTTAATGACTTCTAATTAAGTTAGTGGAACTGTAGATGTCTTTAACACAATGCTTTCATTGCATTGTGTCAATGCATTCATTTCAGGTTTTAAAATATGCACAGTTGCTGCTGCCTGGGAGGAGAAAACCCCTTCCAGAACTAGAAGAACATTCTGTAATCCACACCACGTGGTGCACCATGTTCCAGGTCACCTTTTTGGAGAGTCCTCAGTTACGAACAATAAAACTTTTGGGGTTTTTTTGTTTTTTTGAAAAAAAAAAAAAAGAAGAAATTAAACTTTAAAGCCATGTTTAAAATGATGGGATTTTTAACGTTAATTTTGGAGTTTTCTCATTTTACTACTTCTCTCATAGTGGATCTCTAGGAAAAGCACCAAAAGCTGAAACCACATGAAGTTTCCTTACCTGTGCACCAGCTGCTTGCGGCTTACACAAATTGCAGTTTCATAGTCATGAGTGACACACACTTTGTGTGGGCTGCACTTCACCTTCAAGCATGGATCTTTGGATGGATCGAGGGCTATAAAGAAACAAACATATTAAATTTTTTTTTGAGAAATTCATATAAAACTCTCTCTAGGCTTATGGATAACAACGGGTTAGAGTGAACACTCTCATATCTGAGTGAATACATACTTTGCCATTTTATAGTATGTGCTGCTCTTTTCAGGCTGCATGTGAAATCAGGATGTTCAAGTAGAAAGACAGATGGAGAGCTTAGAGACTGATTATTGAACAGTGATCTGAGTCTAATTGGCATTCACATTAATATTAGACATGAGAGTTTGGGATAAAGATCTGGGATTATAATCTATCTCATGCTGTTTATTTCGTAGAAAAGTTAATGTGGAATAAAATATACTCACAAAAAACAGAAGGACTAGTGTTTTTAGAAGCCATGTAATAACTGACATATTGCAGAATGCTAATAAGTTTGATTTTATAGACACTGTATAACAGGTATATTATTTTGCAGAAATTATTTTTAATTTTTACAGAGAAGCATCTCCTGTACTTAAAATACTTGAGTAGAAGAGCAGGAATAACAAGAAAATAATCCTGGGCTTTCATACAAAAACCTGCATCACCAGCAGTGCTGTCAGAGGTGACAGTAGAGAGCATGATGGGTCTCAGAGCAAAGATGCCCAAACTATTGTCCCATTCGAAAAGTATTTATCTAAATTCATTCTCTTACAAAAGGATGTTTCAAAAGATTGGCAATAAGACATTATATGTGAATATTTGAGAAGAAGGGAAGTCACAGCCATATGGAAAAAATTCATCTTTCTTTAAGAAGTGATTTTTAGAGAAGCTCCTTTTAGATTTTGCCATGGATTTGACTTTCTGTTTCTCTTCAATAAATATTCAAATCCCTTTTAGTTCTCCCCTTCCTCCCCCACTCTTGGAAATGTGCAATGCCTGGTTTCATTTTGGTGACTGTATAAAGTTCTGACTGCACATTATGATAACTGTGTTTCCCACTTTTACTGAATGATCAGAGAAACTTTCAAAGGAGACTATTTGACATGCAAGAAGTTTCAGTTTGCTATGTACCAAATTTCTTCGACAGCAAATGTACTTCCAACAAGCAGAGGATCCTTCTGTTTTCCTCCAGCTGCAGCTGTTCTGTGCTGGGTTAAACAGCCACAGCTACAAACTCCTGCCACATTAACACCCATTACACATTTGTGATGGGCAATTGAGCTTCACTAGTGCATGTGTATTTACTGGAATGCCTTTGGTGCAAGACGGTGGGGAAATCGTAAAAACAAAGCAAAAGTGTTAAAAGCTTTTTTTTCTTTTAAAGCCATTAAAACTGATAGAAGAGGTGAAGTGAGGAAGGAAGGAGAAAAGACCATCTGTTTGATGCTCCATAAACAACAAGGCATCAACAGCCAACTCGTCATTAGGAAAATACATAGGGAGTGTTTGAAGGGTGTCCCACTGCTAAGACCAAAGTCTGACAAGACTCTTCAGGGCTGTTTTGCTATTGCCTTGTGGTGTCTTTATCAAGTCAGACAGATGAGAAAGTATCCCATCCCCTGCCCTTTACATTCCCAGAACACAAAGGGTGAGATACACTTTCTTAATCCTCTCACTCGGCTCTCACTGGAGACTTGAGTTAAAGACTGAGGCAGATTTTTGACAGGGATTGAAATGGCAAGGTACAGTTTCCTTAGCTTTCCACCTAGATATTCTGAACTGCAAAACAGAGTGAAACACATTCCTTTTGCAAAGCCTTTCAGGAGTGAGCACCACTCATAGTGTGCAGGGTCACCAAACTGTAGGTTCAGTGGGCTGAGGTAATTGAAAGGTCATACCCACACACAGAAATTTAATGACCAGAACTTTTGCTTGCTTGCAGCTGGTCTTGCTCTGTTACTGGAGCACGTGCATGTTGTCTGCTTTTGCTAGTGACACATCCTTGATGCAAACTGCTGCATCAACAAAAATCACTGTGCAAACTGGCTGAGAGCCCAGGGCTAATAGCTGCCAACAGCTCTGGGCCTTGTGCTTTCAACCAGCCAAAACCTGCTCAAGTGAGGATGTGGGTTTAGCCTTGAAAGTCAATACTCATTTGAGTAAGAGAAGCAAAATTTAGGTCCACATGGTCTACGTGAACTCATGCACAGTTACAACACTTAGCTCTACTCTACTTTACTCTAATTGGAGAATGTTACCCATTTCAGGAACTAGTTAGGTCTTCTAAGGCAATAAAAATGCATGCAGCACTGATGTATGGTCTGAAATACATTATTGGTAAAAGAAACACAACTTTCAAGTATTCTGGAATTTAAAAATTGCCAATCCAGAAAGAAAAATATTATGGAGTAGTCATCAGTTTGAGGAAAAGCAATGGGAAAAGATGTGGTTGGAAATTCCAAGCACTATTTCTTTATAAGTCAGGCCTTGACTTCTCTCTACCTCAGTGTCTTTCTTGCTAATAAAATCTGAAAAGAATAACAATGTTGACAATAATAAACAAAACTTTTTCCCCACCTGTGTGTTGGATGAATTGTTTCATTTATGGTGGAAAAGCCCATGAAAGTCCTTAAATGGAACACATGGCAGAAGCATCATTTATTATTCATTACAAGCAGCCCTTGCTTACAGTTCAAAACAGTAGAAAGAAGTTTATTAAACACAAGAAAAACTGTGGGGTCTGTCAGAAGACAAAAAAACTCTCCACAACGTGGGTTGTTATTTCATGAGGATTTTTTTTCCACTTATACAGAGTACATGATCCATATGAACATAAAAGTTCAAAATTGGGATGTATATGTCTGTAAAGTTCCTCTACATGTTAAATGCATTTGGAAGGTTGTTCTACTGCTAAGCAACACAAGCCCTAAGGAGAGCTCATAATAAGAAACAATTTCTGAAATATGCTAATCAAAGATCATGCTTTGTTAATCAGATTTCTACATGACTAGGAGCAGATGCTCATCATCGGCAGAAGAACACACCCTTGGGAATAAGATGAAACATAACAACCATATTTGTCATTACAGTTCTTTTTGTCCTAAAGCAATGAGTAGGAAATCTTTGAAAATGAAGAGCTTAAAGTACAAATAAATAAATAAAGTGAGAAGAAGATGTTATTTTATCAGCTTGAAAGAAAAACTACTACAGCCATGTCTTCTCTGAGGCAAAGAGTCTGCACTCAGGTCTGTCTGCACAGTAATAACACAAATACCTTCAGCCTGGCTATAAGATGTCAACATTTTCCTGCTTTTCCTTTAGATTGTGTCTGAAGGTGAAACTGATATGGTTAGCTAATCTCACCTGACAGTGGCTGAGGATTCATCCAAAATTTTTACACGGGGATACATGTCCAACCAATATTGGAATTAAAGGTTTCACATGAACATGAGTTCTTTGATGAAAACCCATTTCAGTCACCCATTTTGGGAGCCTAAGCTTCATAGTTTCCTGTTCTGAGCATTTTCCATGTTCAAATCCATGCACACTAAGTCTCCAAGGGAAGTATCCATCCCAGGAGGCAGCTGGCAGAAATATAGTCTTGAACATCCCTCAGTATAATAATTTTCAGAAGCTTTTTATTCTAGGAAAATTTAGGACATCTGGCTCAAAAATATCTCTGTTCTTCACACCCAGAGGTTTCTGCTGCTGACATTAGCTTTCTGACCAGCTGTCCTGGTGCTCAGAGCTGTAAGGTCTCTTGCTGTCTGACACAGCACAAGTGAAGAAGTGTTTAGATGGGTTACAGTTTCTGCCTCATTGGCCACAACAGTTCAGGAGGAATTGTACTCTCTAGTCAGCTGAAATGCTTTCCTATGTACACAGTGACCCAAAACCTGTGCTAGACCCATTTATATAAAATAGAGGTGCAGAATCAGAATTCCTGTCATTAAGAGACAAAGGGCTTGAATTCTACTTTTTTTTTTGTCTAGCTTTTATCATGCAGAGCAACCTAAGTTCTCTCTTGAAACTATAAATCTTCTATGGTTATCTCAGAGAGAGACCAGAATAATTGGTACACAATAAATGCCAGGGATTGCATCAGCCTGCTAACAACCTCCTAATGGTGTGTTGACATTGCTTTGCAATACCAAAAGGGCTACAAACACCAACTGCATCCCAAATCTCTTCCCCTCCCAGCTCCACACAGCAGACCAGAGAACTTTCCCTTATGAACTGAACACACTTTCCTCTCCCCTCCATTCACCACAGGCTGTGGGTTTGCAATATAAATCAATACTGGACAAAGACCTACCAATAATGTTTGAGATACTTTTCTATTACATTTCATGATTTTATTTATTACCACTCTAAAAGAAGACTTATGATTTGCAGGAAAATCTTAGTTCAGTCAATGGCAGCACAGGGAGAAGTTGGTCTCCAAGACTGTAGCTCCACATGCTGCACTGGTAGGTCACTGTGTTCATCACAACAGAATGAATTTACTTTTCACACATTTGACTTTAAGAGGGTGACAACAAATAAATACTTTCAACGTCTCACAGCAATGGATATGTAATCCTGCAGAAATTGTACAACTAGTTCATAACAAGATTTATGAGCTTGATTCTGTTTTTATGACCATTCCTTAGGGGGAAGAGAGTAATTTCCAAGTATGGCTGTTTAGTGGAGCTGAAATGAACCACACAATCGAAAAGAGACAGCATTATGTAAATATTGGGGTTTTTTGTTTTCAAAATTGCCTGCCAATAAGTACTATGATCACTCAACGACAAAAATTCTCCTACATAATGCAATGTCAAGAGCAGTTGCTTTTATGCAATCCCCTTGGAACTGTTCTGACTATATAAGAAAAGAACATCTGTTGGGAAAGGTGTGATGAACTGGAAAACAGGACCTACTGTCTTAGACTCAAAGATCCTAGTGGATATTTTAGTACAAAAGAGATTGATAACAAAACACAGATCTCTCAATTAAGTGGTGCATTACATTCTAAGTGTGCATCCCCCTGGTATGAACTAGACACCCCAGAAAACCTGTGATGGACTTGCACTTGGAGCTGAGTGTAACATTTAT